TATTATATTTTACACTTTATCTAAATTTTTTAAATTTACAAATGTAGGTTACCACTCTATATTTTTTTTAATAGTGAGATCCACACCCATTTTTTTGTTTATCATGGGTCTCACAATTAGAGATGGAAAATTAGGTAGGCTCGATACTTAATAGCTCAGGTCTTAATACTTGATTTTTTTTTTTAATTTTTACCTAATCATGAGGTCGGCCCTTATTCAAAAGGCTTAAGGTCAGGCTTGTAAATCCACTTTCAAAAAAATAAAAAAATTCAACATTATAATTTAAATAAAATATTCTAAAATTGAACAAAGATTTAAATAGAACATAAAAAAATCAAGGTTTCACATTGAACAAAGATTTAAAAGTTTACATTTAAGATGAAGATTAAAATTTTCATCAATCTACATCTAAATCCTCCTCTTTATCATCTAAAAATAGAATATTATATCTCTTAAATGTAGATTCACTTGTTGAAAATGGAGGTGAAAATTCGATGTTAATTATCTTTGTAACTTCTTCTTCATCACCTACAATAAATATTAATTAAATTGTATTATTATCATATATATATATATCAGAAGATAAAATATAAAAATTATAATAAATTGGCACAAAACCATTTAACTACAGATACAAATTAACGCTTGCACATTATTTAGAAGGAGGCGAGAATGATACTTTGTTAGAACATAAGAGCCTATGCTAAAAGCTAATTCACTAGTTACTGTAGTGATTGAAATACTTAGAATATCACATGCCATGCTTAAAAGAATGGAAAATAGTTGTTAATTAGTAACACATCTAATTCTTGAAACTAGTGACAATTAAGGAAAGCTTCTTTCAAATAATAATCTAATTTAGATTTCTCAATGGAAGAAACATCCATACTCTTCAAATTAAGAAAAATCTTATATTTAAAAAAAATCCCTAATTTAATTGTATGATGTTTTTTAATTTTTTTTAATTATAATAGGGCTTGGAGGACTATCTAGGCTCAAGCCCTTTTTTCAAGGCTTATTAGGGTTAGACCTCAAAGCCTGATTACCCTAAAAATTACTTATTTTTTAAGTTCAAACTCTTATTTAAATAAGGCCTTCAATCGGCCCTCCAAGCCTCGCCTTTATTTCTAACTCTACTCACAACTATATTTTTTTATATTTTAACAAAATAATTCATTAACAAAATTCTTTAAAAAAATTAGAGAGAGAGAGAGAGAGAGAGAAGCACACTGATTTTGTGCTTGTAGAAGATAATAGATATAGAGCTACAGTGCCATGACTTTGTACGATTATATATAAATGTAAATTTATTCTTTGACCACCCTACTTAACATTTTTTTTTATTATATAAAAATTAAAATGAAACTGAATGCTTCATGGATTGACAAAACTTGACTAATAAAATTCAAATAATCAAGTAACTGAGATGATAATAAGATCCTTATAATTTAGGGATAATTACCTTAAAGTTTCACATAAGAAAATTAATTACTACAAAGTCTATTGATAACTGAACTAAATTATATTGACAAGACATCCAATTGTTAATGTAGCTTAGTTCAGTTGTCAATGAATTTTATAATAATTAATTTCATTGTGTGGAACTTGGTAGTAGTTCTTCTTATAATTTATTAAATATCATAAATTAAATTGATTATACTGTTGCTTAATTTTGTAATTCAAAATCATAGATATAAAATAAACCCTTTCTCAAAAAATTTCCTCCCCCTCGCAATTCAAACCCTCTCTTTTTTTACAGCTTTCGCTGATAATCTCTTTCCTGAGAAACAAGAAAGATAAACCCTAAACCTTCACAGCCATTTCGCTTCCAATCAATCGCCAACATGTTCAAAGCGGTTGGTACATAATTAAACTCTTTTTGCGTTGATCTGTGTGTTGAATTCTGCATCATCACTTTTCTTTCATTTTCTTTGTCGCAACGATCTCAATTTCTTTCTTCAAAGAATGAATTAATCTTTCTTCTTCGATGTTCTTCTGGTTACAGCGATCCTCAACCGCCACAAGAATGCGCGTCGATTCAAGGACTACTACGGCCACTGGTTCAGCACCCTCAAGAACAACCTCCTCCCTCTGCTCCGACGATCGCTGTCGCGCCCCGATTCCCCCACCGTCCTCTCCACCCACGTCAACCTCCTCCACCAGCATTTCCAGTCGCTGTACCATGCTCTCGACCTCGCCGCCTCCAACGAAGACGACATCGTCGTCCTTCTCTCCCCCGATTGGCGCTTCTCCCTCGAGAAGCCCCTCATCTGGCTCGGTGATCTCCACCCGTACCTCTTCACCAACCTCGTCCGCTGCTTCATCCAAGAAGACGACGACCTCACCACCACCACCTCCGACGACGGCTACTTTATCCGCAACAACAGCATAACGGTAACGGACCTTCATCAGGACCGGCCGTGGCAGGTGGCGATGAACACACCTGTGTTCATGTCAAGTGTCATTAGGAATTTTAAAATAGCTTGACTCTTGTTTATGGCACTCATGATTCTGAAAATGAAGATTGAAGTCTATCTCTAATTACTTTAAAATAGCATGTTTCTCTCTGCTGTTTTTGAGACAAAAAACTAGACAAACCAACTAATCATATAATAGCAGCAAAAAGAAGCTACAGATTTATCACATGTGCAGGGAAATATCTCTTGACCATATAAACTTGGATACATTGACTAGTGAAGTTTGCTTTAATTTGTTTTATAATGAGTATCTTTATTTCGTGTTAACTAAATCAGCATAAGACATCATCCGTGAAATAATCCATTAATTGACAGAATAGTATAAAATTTTCTACTTAGGAAAAATTTATACATTGGTAATTTCTAACATAACATCCATGAAATTTAGTTTAAGAGTTACAAGTCTTAAGTGTGCGAAGGGAATATGAAAGCAGAAAAAATTGATTAATTTAAATGAGAGAAAAATAGTACTCCTCCAGTCTTTTCTATAACTCATTTCTACCAACTTCATCAATATCAATAAAAAAATGTACAAGGAATAAAAGCGTATAGAATTCTAAATATGCCCTTACATAACAAATTCAAAAAGTAATGTCATATTACTTTCTCTCTTTCATAAAGGATAATTTTGGAAATACTTTTTAAATATTACCTAAAAAGCCACACCATGACTTATAAATGGAACCAAATAGACTTTCTGAAATGCGACTTATAAATGAGATCGGAGGGAGTATCAAGAAAGAATAGAAGAAAAGAATAATAAGAATGGAATAGTAAAGTGATCTATCTCAAGACATAACAGTAAGAACCTTCAAACCTAAGGTGAAGCTTATCATGCCTCGTGTTTGCATTTAGTGTGCTGCTGGCCTTTTATTTCAGTCTAAAATGATGTTTACTGTTCATTTAAATTAATTTTTAAATATTTTAAATATTATATTTATTAATATAAAAATTTTAATATTAAATATGGACTATTTAGAATGTATTTAAATGTTTAATTTATAAAATTTATAAATTTTTTAATATTAAATTAAGTCATTCAAATTATATCTGAACTGTTTAGAATATATTTAGATAGTTAAATTATAAAATTATAAAAAATATTTAATATTAAATTGGACTGTCTAAATTAAATATTTACTAGCTAGATTGATAATGAATAGATTTATTAAAATTTTATAGAATTTTTATAAATTTTATTTTAATAAATATAAAATAAAAATAAAAATTTTTAAATTTAAAGCGGCCAAATCTCATTGAAAGTGGTAAGTATCATGGTATTTATTCCCTAACGAATACTAAAAATAGCTTAAATTTAATATTACATTTTTTATAATTAATAAATATAATATTAAAAATATTTTAAAAAATCAATTTAAATGGACGATAAAAGTCACTCTAAATTGAAACGGAGGATTAGGATTGTTTGTGGTGTGTGAGCACCCAATGCTGACGCAGCATGCATCTTCTCCTTTGCCAATCTTTACTACATCACTCTTCGCTACCATCATGGATTGATTATGCATTTGCTCTATCTCAGCCATCGTGCCTCCCATGTCACTGATTATGCATTTGCTCCATCTTAGCCATCCAACACTTAAGCTTCGTCAAGCAATTTCAAAGGAGTTGGATGGGAGGGACAAACGGCCTAAACGGTTTGAAACTTTAAGGATTTATATCTAAAAATTTAAACTATAGGGACAAAGACCAAGTTTGACTAAAACTATAAGGGCCATAATAAATTAAAGTAAGACGTTGAGAAATGGTTTATGACTTTTTTTTTCTTTTAAAGTTTCCTCCCAATCACAGTATAATGCACTTTTTAAAAGTTTTATTTAATCTAAAATATAAGGTATTTAGTAAATTTTATAATTTTCTTTTCAATTATACCTCTACTTCATTTATTACTTTTTTAAAAAATGATGCATTATAATTTTAATTTTAATTATTAAGACACTTATACAAGGTATTTAATAAAGGTAAAATTGAAAATATGTAAATTTTTTTAAGAAATTAAGATTTAAATAGAAAATCATGAATTAATTTTCAATGCCTTATATTTTGATCATAGGGAGTAATATATTAATAAGAAAAATGACTTATTTTAATTTATATGCAATGCAAAAATAAGTATGTTTAGTTAACAAGAGTAATCGAAACGAAGAGCAAAACTTTATTGTTTAATTTAAATTGCTTCCTTAATTAATTAGTACACACTTCATGAAACGCAGCGTATAGACCACACTTCAAACATGAGCCATTCGCATTGCAAATTTTAAAATCAATTATGTTATTCATGAGCTATATTTATATATGTTGATGCTTTTATACATTGAATTCAATTCAATTTTTTTTTTTTTCAATATGCATTGACACCCAAGTCCAATTTCAAAGACTATCACCCAATCAATCAATATATTAATAAAAAAAAGACTTCTTTTAATTTATATGCGATGCAAAACTAAACAATAAATTAATTGATGATTCCTTAATTAATTATACACGCTTCATGAAACGCTGCGTAGAGACCAAAAGAATGACATGTTTACTGCCTTCAGTAATCAGTTGCTGAGTCCGAACTCTGACCATTTGACTTTGAACTCCGAAATCCGAATTCGAAGTCGCTATGGCTTCAAGCCAAGCTAAGAACGATGATGAAGATGAACATATAACAAACAAATCAAGCTCGAGCTTCGTCTGAAATCACACTGAACATGACCATATCTCTGGATTTTCCTTTCATGAACAAGAACTTCCTGAGAATTCCTTCCCTCTGAAACCTAGCCTTCTCTAGGATTCTCTGAGACGCCACATTCTCAATATCAACCAGAGCTTCAAGCCTCTCCAGGTCCGGCAACTCAACGAACGCCATTTCCACCATCTGCTTCACCACCTTCAGCGCGATCCCTTTCCCCCAATACTTCGACCCTAAAACATACCCAAGTTCTGCAGATTTCGCTCTGGCCACGTCATCCCCGGCCTTGGTTCGAACAGAAGTCGATCCGATCGCGTGATCGCCGACGCAAATCTCCCGGAACAAGAAGCACTTTATGGTGAAGTTTTGTATGAAATCGACGGCGGCGTCTCTGCTTGTGTAGGGTTCCCAGCTGCAGAATTTGGCCACTCGTTCATCGGTGGCCCAGACCATGAAATCGTCGGTGTCGGAAAGAAGGAGGGATCGAAGAGAGATCTGAGCCAAATCGAAGGCGTCTTCCATGATTGGATTGTGGCTTTGAACGAGAGGAATTTTCGTTGTGGGGGCATTTATAGTGTGACAGTGAATGAAGAATTGGGTACGGAAGATTTGAGTGGGGATCAAGGCAAGGAACGAGAAGCCGACAAGATAATGGAAGATGAAAGAAATTGATAATATTGAATGGCTTCAAGCCGCCTTTGGGAAAGAGATGGTTGATATGACGTTGGCAAAGATATGACGTGATCATAAATTACTATCACCATGGAAAAGGTAAGGACGAGCTGAGGATTGTCAATGTATTCTGGGCTAACGTCGAGAACTTGTTCGACAGCATGAAGAAGGAGACGACCAAAGACCCTTCCTTCGAGGAAGTTAAGGTCGTCCTCAGACTCCTACATGAACAGGCTCGTCGGGTTCTTCTCAGCAAAGGGTCCAACGTTAAGGTGCTTTGTCGTGGAGACACTTTCTATCAGACACTTAAAGAGTTCGATTCATGGAAGCTCAACATCGAGAACGATCCTGGGTTTGATGTGTCCTTCACAAAACATTATGAGATTGTCTTCTCTCAGCTTCCTCCTCATGCGAATTGTCTTCGTTTGGATATCAAGTACTATGTGAGTGATATCTATCCTCCGATTCGTTGCATGTGTTGTCGTACAATGGACATTGAGTCAGTCAGATATGTTTGCTGCCATGGACACAAAGAGGGAACTGCTGATGCTAGCGCCGGCAATATCACGATTCTTCGGTAGGAAATCAGCTTCCGGCTGCCGGGCTGGCAATCCCCGTAAAAAAGCTAGAGAGAAATAAGAAGAAAGGAACAGGTCCTATACTTCTGTGCATGTGGATCTCACAAAAGTAGGGTTTGTTTCTTTCTTTTTGTCTCCCTTTATAACTTGTGAAGAAGTTATTGTTTCAATTTGTGGTGCTCTTAATTAATTACTATGTTATTTTGGTCAACTGTATTTGGCAGACAAATGATGCGTTGGTGTGTGATGTTTAGCCTCTTTGTGTTGTTGCCCTAATTTCATGGGGTTTATAGAATAAATGGCTGATAATTCATCTGCTTGTTATGATAGAAAAGTTGATTTTGATTCAGACATTGATATAATAAAATTCGTTCTTTAAGTTTTCTTTTGCTTTCTTTAATATTATTCAAATTTAATTTATTTTGAAAGACAAAAATTTAGAATCATTTTAGTTTTTGTTTATTACCCTTACCCTATTTTCCTTCTCCTCCATAATATTATTGTAACATTTAATTGAGTCACAACAAGTGAGTTCTGAGAAGTATTAATAATATTAACAACAAGATAAAAAATGGCAACAAATATTAGTTGTTCATTAAAGATTTGACTCATGATTTATGAAGCCACAAGATCAAATCCTATTCCAAATGTAAGAAATTTATTGATGAGGAGTTTGTGAAAAATATGCCAGGACTCTCTAAAACCAACCCATCTAAATATTTTTGTAAAGATAAAATTAATTAAAAATAAACTCATTAAATATATCAACTTAAGTATATAATCCCAAAAATAGAGTGAGCCAATAATACGTATGTAATATTGCCATCCAGATCCAAGTTTATGAAATGGGATCAAATAGCTAGGATGTTATTACATTAATATTAAACCAATAAATATTAGGGGCTTTAGCATATTTAGCCAATATTATGTAGCTAAATAAAACTAATAACCCACCATTTCCTAAATTAAGAGAATGGTCGATCTGTTAATTTCTCTTAGGACCAAAAGATGAAATAACCCTTAAAGACTACAATACCCTAATTGCCTTTCTCAAACAGGAAACTTGGAGACCTGGAGACGGCATTTTGCTTGCACCACATGAAGACCTGGAGGCAATACTATACGTTTGGACTGTGGGCGAAGAAATTGACAGTAGGCAATGAAATAGCTGCCGCCGGTGGACAAATGAAGTCAGAGATTTAGCAAGGACACCACACAAACGCTAGGTGAGACAGACTGAAGCTCTGCATTCATCTGGGAAAACACACAAACACGAGGCAAGGTGAAGTGAGGCAGACTTGCTGCTATAAATTCGGTGTCAAAAATCAAAAATGCTGCCAAGGTGAGGAACAACTACTGCTACAGCTTCAAGGTGAGGATGCCCAGTGACACTGTGTTACTCAAGCCAGAGTTCAAGTGAGGATTTTGCAGATATTCTGTCAATGGTGCCAAAGAGGAAAAATCATCCTACTTCACCAGGTATTTTCACATAATCCTTGATATAAGGCTGTATATTAAATGCTTAGACCTCTTGATTTCTCTGTTATTCAGAGCTGAAAACACCCTACCCTGTATCGAAGTAACGGTTGTTCAAATCTCATTTTCCATCATAAGAAATTATGACATTAAGCATCCCTATATCTATAAGATGACATAATGTTGGTAAGTTATCACTGATATTACTTATCAATGAGATATTATAGTATATCAATGATATACTAACGTTAATTAAAAACATGAAAACGCCATCAATGAGATACTATAGTATATTAATGATTCACTAACGTTAATTAGAAACACAAAAATGCCATACTCCTTCGCCCAAATCAAATCAAACTAGGTTCAAAAAAAATTACAAATGCCTTAGCTGATCATAGAAAATCAAATACCTGGAATAAAAAATAAAAAATCATGAACAGTGAGAAAATAATATGTTATGCGTTTGAAATTCAAGCAAATTGCATGATCAATGACAACAAAAAATAGATTAGAAACATATGATTTACTGATTCAATGGACATATTACCTAAATATATGAAGATGATGGAAATTCGATTATGGATGATTCTCTTCAACCTCCAGAAAAATGAATACAAGACAATTTATATTCAATAATGCAGTTTCCTGTTCAATGTGATGACAATGTCTGGGAAAAATGGAGAAGATAAACAGATAGAGGCAAGCACTGTATGATAAGATACGTTCTGCGATCCCTGATGACGATGGTGAAAATAACCGTCTGGATGGAGAAATAAAATCAAAGAAAATCAGATAAAAATAACATCAGTTATATTCTATTTTAATAAAAATAACTGAATGGATTTGAGGACAAAGGAGTAAAAACACATCTAATTTATTTTTGAATGGGCCATATTTCAAAATATTCAAAAACTTCTTCCATAATTTATGGAAGTTGTATTTTTTGAGGCCATTGAGCAAATTTTCTCTAAATATTACACATAATTAGTCTATAGTAAGTTATACTATTGATAAAATATACATGAGTTGACATCCAAGACTTTATACACAGTATCTGCAAAAACACAGGTTTATTTTAAATTTATTTTTTGACCACCCTCCTTAACTTTTTTTATTACATAAAATGGATCTGAATGCTTCATGGATTGACAAAGCTTGACTAATAAAATTCAAATGGTCATGTAACTGAAATGATGATAAGATCCTCCCTCTGCTCTGCTGATCGCTGTCGCACCCCGATTCCCCCACCGTTGTCTCCGCCCATGTCGACCTCCTCTAGTAGCACTTCCTATTGCTGTACCATGCTCTCGACCTCGTCGCCTCCAACGAAGACGACATCACCGTCCTTCTCTTCCCCGATTGGCTCTCCTATTGAAATATTTATTTATGGATTTACATTAATTAGTAAGCCTAAACGAATTGGTCTTTATGATCTTGTGTGAACTGTGATAGGTGGATTACACAAGTGAGCCCAATGGGTAGAAGCCTAACCTATAACCCTATATTTGTCAGTTATTTCCTATCTCTTAACTGATTGAGTAAAAGATAATGAAAGATAATTAATTAATTTATTTATTATAGCAGTTACTGATTTGGTTCATATAAGCCGATCAGTCGATAACTGCAAACAAACAACAATTTTCACTTTCTTCATTATCTCTGAACTCTCTGCAAAACTAGAAGGTGGTTAAGGATTATATGATCTGTAGTGTCTCATTTTTTTTTCGGTTATATGATATTTCATGTAAATGATGGCATTTGCAACTCTTGCGATTCATAATTTTATTTGTTTAAATAGGAAAAAATTTATAAAAATGTAGTCTTTCTCGTGCAAAACCAATTGTCTCTTGCCGGGAAATTGCCGTTTGGTTTTCCTGGAAAGATATTTAAGATGAGCATTATATTTATATACACACACTTGAGATCGCTGATGTTATGTAGTTGGACATGGCCGCTGTTGTTGTCACCACTATCACAGTCGTCGAAAGTCGCTACTGGTCCATGGTGTCATGGTCATGTACTACCCATCTAATTGCCAGGAGTTGCTAGTTCACAGTAATAGGAGGTTGCTGTGATTATAGCTGTCAAGTTGCCAAAATCTCCTAGTTGCTATGCTCTGGTTTGTAGAGTCATTTGCCCAGGAAACTGGGTCACACCACTCACCCGAATTAGGTTTTAGGGATCTGAATAAGAGAAGAAGAAGAGGCCTATGTTTTGGGCCATTAAACCTTTTGGGCCCAGAATTTGTTTGGTGCACAACATTAAATGTTAAAAAAAAGGGAGGTATTTGAGCTAATAGTGAAATGAACCATTTAACTTAAGTATGACTGGCCGAGCCTAGGCCCAGTCCCATTAAAAAAAATCAATTGAAGTAAATTATGATGTAAGCCCCAGTTATATTCACTGCTTGGCCCGAAATTTCCAATAATTATGTTGTGACCCCAAGAAAGTTTGGCAATTATGATTTCATCACTAAACTTCTAGAATCGCATTTTCACCCCAAATCTCTTCTAGAATTACTATTTTGCCCCTAAACACTTCTAGAAATTTTATTAATGTCACAAATTTATCCCTAATTCCTAATAGACTAAAAAATTCATAAAATTACTTTAGTTTGTTCTAAAGGTCATAAAAGCCTTATAATTTATCATGATTTGGATCTTATTGCATTGCTAATGGACATACCTTATAGGTGTGACATCGTCAATGTTTGGGGTTTGGACTTTTGAGGATAGGTGTGCAAGCGCTTAGGATGATGTATTAGATATTTATTATATCCTATAGGTATGAAAA